CAGCCTCCAGGCGCCTTGGCCGGAGCTCCGACGATCTTCCAGCAGCGATGGCCGAGACCGGAGAAGACGACGGCGAAGTAGCCGCTCCTCTTCCTCCCCCTCCCCCTCATACTCTGGCGAAGCCAGTAAGCAGCAGTGTAGACATTCCTGAGTAGATCGATCGGTTGCGGATCCCTTTCCCCCCTTAACCCGCCGCTCCTTCCTCCCTGCAGCGCACTACTTCGACGATGAGGCGGCGGAGCAGAGCACCAGCACAGGGTCGGCGACGAGCCGTCCTCACGGATGGAGAACCTTCCTCGCCTGGGGTAGCTGCCCTGAATCACAGCAGGGCAAAAAAAAGTACTCTTTACTTGAGCATTTCACTGTTACCCCGAGGATCCAAGCAGTGCGTCAAAATTAGTCCTTGATGTGATTCCTGTGGTGTTCTCCACGGATCTGAACCTCTGGGGCAAAAAAAAAAGGGTGTTTTATGGGTTTTGTTGCCTGGGACGGGCAGGGAGCTTGGATAAAAATTCAACCCGACTAAAAATTCAGGCCCTTCCTTGACCCTTGTCGTGGGAGTTTCAGCCTGCTGTGATGTCACTGCTTCCTCTTAAAGAGGCTGTGAGGAGGACAAGCATTGTTTGGAGAGAAGTTGGAAAATGCTCTGGACATTCCGTTGTAATCTGTGTTTTTATGGCCCCAGTGATCTGGATTTAGACACTGATGAACGACACATCTTTGGTTTTCTGAAAATAAAACGAGCTAAGTTCACTGAGGCTGTAAATTGGATTACTAAGTGGCATAGTGGGATAGGGGTCGATAACTTCTGCATCGGGTGTGGCTTGCACAAAGAGGACTTTCGATCATCTTGACAGGTGGATTTTACTTTGCCGCTTCATGGAAAGCGAGGATCATAGCTTTTGACCTGGAGAAAACCTATTCGCCATCCGAAGAAGTTCACCACTTTCCTCTTGAGGCCTTGGGTGTACAAGGCAGCTCTTGTGTGCATTCTTTGTTTCTCGCTGCTGTTTCTATAAAGCCATACCCAGGTATATATACATGTGGGTTTACAGTACCCAGCAGGACTAATTTAAGTATATCACACCAACTTGACAAACTTCAACATTTACTAATTCATGGAATGAATGTCAAGATGGTTGAGTTGAGTTTCATGCTGCTCTTGCCCATTTTGTGTACGAAGGACAATGGATCCCTATAGTACTTCATGGTTGCTCGAAATTAGATAAGGCTACAATAATATTGTTTAAAGGCAGCAAAGGACTGGCCCATGTATTCGCTTTAGTTCCAAGTATTTTTCCAGTGAAGATACTACATGTGCAAGCTTATATACATGGATATGAACAGGTTAACTGGTGTTTATTAATTTATTCATTCATTCTTGTTTGCGTACATTATAGTTCTTGAAATTGGATTTTGATGTCATGTTATTTTTCCTTGTTATGTTTCAGTTGCAGTAGCTGACAACAAGACGACATGGCATGTTTATGCATCTGAGGCATCTGACTTGTCCACTTAACTGTCTTCTCTAGGCAGCCAAATGCCAATAACGGAGTTCTTCATGAAATGCAGATGGTATATCTGAACTTTGACGACGGTGGGAGCGTACTTTATCTTGCAGAATGCTCGTGTTCTCGAGCACATGGAAACACAGCCAAGGGTCGCGGCCGGTATGTTCCCCATTTCAGGATCATGGCGCAGGCATTGTTGAGAGGCACCTGTTGGTGTCCACTTCGTATGTCTCTGCAGGTATGGTCGCGTTCCAGTGTCCTTTTGATACTCTCTGATGATTATTGTGGATTCCCCATGTAGTTTGATCTGGTGGTCGGCCTCGTCCGACAGTTTTTCTGTGATTTGTTTGTGCGGCAATGTGTTCTTGTTTATCATCTATGGTAGGAACTTATTGTTCCAGGGACTGTAGGTTTTTTTGCTAACTAGAATGGGAACCTGGGCGGTTGAGGCTCAAGTTGTCAGTTAAGTCAACCTTTTTCTGCCGGGTTTTGAAATGGAAGTAGTAGAGATGTAAATTAATTGCAGCCTGGGCGTGGCAGGCAATGCTATGCTTGTCAACTGCAATCACATAGTGCCCTACATCTATGATTGGTTTGCTTCTATTAGCAGCACACCTAGTTCTGACGGCATGTGTTCCTCTAGGTATTGCTTCACAAAGCTTATTCATATGCTCTCCGGTACCTCCTTTCTTGCCCAACATATCACACACACAGGGACAGGGTACTTCCTCGTGAAGCAGACCTCTGCTCCGAGAGCCTCGCACGGTAAGTACGTACGTCTGTTGGTCTTTGTCTTTCAGCAATGTCCGTCTGTGGCAAAATTTTGTGTTTTGACCCTTTTATCAAACAAAATCGAGATCTGACCCCAGTTTGAAAACATTTCGAGATCTGACCCTTTTCCCTACTGCCACGAGGCACGGCGGTAGGATCATACAGCCTACCGCCGAGACCTGCGGCGGTAGCAAACTTGTCCACGTCAGCAACGATAACGGCCTCCGTGCCCCCTCCGTCACACCCTATCGTCGCTCCACCCGGCGGTAGGATGTCTGAACCTACCGCCGGAGTCTCTGGCGGTAGGGTGTGGGCATATATAAACCGTGGGGCCGGCCGCCCCCACCCCCTTCTCCC